GCTTTGGCCCAACCACTTCATTAGCTCTGGAGTGACTCGTACTTGTCCTCCGCTCTTCCTCAGTAACATGTTGGTCACCTTCTGACCTGAGGGGCCCATCTTCCAGTGTCATATCTTTTAGCCTTTTGTTTCTGTTCATGGGGTATTCTTGGCAAAGATACTGGAGTTGCTTGCCAATTCCTACTCCAGGTGGATCGCGTTTAGTCGGAACTCTCCACTATGACCTGTCCATCTTGGGTGTCCCTGCACGGCATAGCCCATGACTTCTCTGAGTTACTCAAGCCCCTTCGCCACGACAAGGCAGCAATCCATGAAGAGGAAAGTATATGCTTGTCAGAAGTGGGATTTGAACCTCGTTCATCCTGACAGCTGCTTAGTACTTCCCCAGGAGTACTATGTAGTTAAAAACCAATATAAAACCCTGATTGCCCAGAAAAATAAACAATCAATTCAAGAACAATGGAACATCTTGATAGACTCTGTGCTAAACAAAGATTCCAAGCTATTCTGGGTCTTGGTCTCTGGGGCGCTAGGCGCCTGATCAGGATCAGCTTGCTGTAGTATCCTGGGGAATATATGGGAATGGTACTTCACTCAAATATTTGAGGAAACCAAACTCTCATAAACTGTGAACATCATATCCCTAGATCTAAACAAATTGTCAAACTGGGACCCAGTAACCGAAAATGAAATAAGGACATTAATAGCTTGTCTAAAATCAGGGAAGGCACCGGGACCCGATCTAATACCAGCAGAGTCTTTAAAGAGCAAAGTAGACTGGTGGGGCCCCCTTTTATCTCATCTATTTACATTCATTAATAACACTGGGCACATTCCATACTCCTGGTTAGAGGCAATAGTGATACCAATCTATAAGAAGGGGAACAAAGATGAACCCTCAAATTATAGACCAATTAGCCTTCTATGAATAGTGGGCAAGCTTTATGGTAGATATATTAATAATAGATTAATCACATGGATTGAGGAGGAGGATATTTTAGGGAATGAACAGGCTGGTTTTAGGAAGAACGGGTCCACCCTTGACCACTGTATAGTACTGAATCACCTTGTGTCCACCTTTGACCACTGTATAGTACTGAATCACCTTGCAGAGAAGTATATGGGTTATCATGGGAATGGCCTGTTTGCAGCTTTTATAGATTTAAATTCTGCCTTTGACTCCATACTCAGAGGAAATTTACGGGGAAACTCTACTCTTCCTTGATTGATAAGAGGGTATTATATCTTATCAGAAGCCTCTACCAACAGAGGCTTCTGATAAGATGTTTAGTCAATGGGAATCTATCAAACTCTATTTAGGCAGAGAGAGGGGTTCACCAAGGTTGTATTCTAGTGCCTACATTATTTAATCTGTACCTAAATGACCTTCCTAAAAGCTCAGCACCTGAATTTCATCCCCAAAATTGGCTAAAATCAATGTGCCCTTACTACTATACGCAGATGATGTGTTTATCATGTCACTATTGGAAGTTGGTCTAAAATGAATTCTACATGCATTTATGAGTTACTGCAGGAGAAACCTATTAACAATTACCTTCAAGAAAACCAAAATAATGGTTTTCTCTAGGCATAGTAAAGTTAAATAATGGGTTATTGAGGGCCAGTGTATAGAGCAACTTAAAACATTTAAATAGTTGGGAATTGTCTTCTCATGTACCCTCTCCTGTTCTCACCAAAGACAAGCAGCAGCACAGGTGGCTAATAATACAAGCAAAGTTCTTAGATGAAACCACCATGTCCAGGGTGGGCAATTCATCCCTGCTGCTCTACAGATAGTTAAGTATAAAATTCTTGCACAGCTGTACGGTATTGCGATTTGGATAAATGGTTTCAGTCTCTCAGTTTAAAGTGTTCTATCAAATTTGTTGCAACTCCTATTCGCTATGCAAAGATGCGTCTCTCCAGCTGCCTTGCGTTTAGAGGCTGGCCTTCAATTGTCTGATTTTACATCTCTTGTCCTGCTATTATATAGAGAATTCCCTCTGGTGACATTCATTTTATTCTGAGAAATGTTTTAATGTCTTATTGTTTATTTGTGGTTTATTAGCATATTTTGAATTTATTATTGTAGGGAGCCCTGTGGCACAGTGGTTAATCCACTGTGCTGCAGCCAAAACTGTGCTGACGACTTGGGGACGACTTGGAGTTCAGTCCCAGTTAGCCAGCTCAAGGCTGGCCCAGCCTTCTATCCTTCAGAGGCTGGTAAATTGAGTAACCAGCTTGGGGAGGGGGACAACATATTGCCTGCATAATTGACTTGTAAACTGCCCAGAGAGTGCTTTAAGTGTTATGGGGCTGTATATAAACAGCATGCTTTGCTTTTTTGCTTTTTGTTGTAAATCATCCGGAATATTGCATTGGACTAGTGGAGCAGTATATTAATCAAATTAATAAATAATAAACAATAATTGAGTCACATCTATCACACTGAAAAGGGGTTGTGTGTTGCATCTCCCACATTTAGAACTGTATGGCATCAGATATTTGACTTACGGTAACAAGAGAATGTTAGTGGATAGAGAACTTCTTTCTTGAATAAAGGGTACATTTGGTAAGGGGTTACCAATGTTGAGAAGTTGCCTTGCCCTCACGCTTTTCCAACAACTATAGAAATATAGCTGGCAAAATGTTTCTATCCACAGAAGTTTATGCCAAATAAAATCTCAGCCTTTAAGTGACACAAGACTGTTGTTTTGGGGAACATTAACAGAATCTTTGCAGAAGTAGGATGAGACCTCTGGGGATCTGTGTAAACTAATGTCTGTTATCTCTGGGAAGAAGCTTTATGTTCTAAATGCCATGGAATAATAATTATAGTAATCTCAGAATTTCAGAGCTAGAAGGAACTCTATGGATCATCAAGTCCAGCCCCTGTCAAGGAAGCACAGTGGGGAATTGAACTCCCAACTTCTGTCTCTGCTAAACCAATGAGCTATCTAGAGGTTCTATCATAGGTTGCTGTTATGTAACACCTAGACACAACTGATCTATGGCAACCTTAATGGGCTTTCAAAGTATGTGAGATATTTAAGAAGCAGTTTTGCCATTGCTACACCCTACTGTGAGCTTCCATGGTCAAGTGGCTATTTGAATCTAGGTCTCTGTCACTCTTCCCACTACTGTACATAACACTGGCACACAGAATATAAAAATATGTAAATACAAGCAGTATATGGGTGAGGCAAATACTGTACAGCAGTATGCAAGCAGACAATAACAAATGCAGGCAATATGTGGGTCCAAAGCAAAGTGTGCTGCTTCTATACCACCTCATAGCACTTAAAGCACTCTCTGGACAGTTTACAATTTTAATTATGCAGGCTGCACTTTGTCAATCCATCTTCACCCCTGTTATTCAGCTTGTATATTGTATTTACTCTCCATAATCTGTGTTTATTCTTTGTTTACTTATGTGCTTAACTTACTTCCTCTATGTACAGGTGCAATTTCAATAGGGTGCTTTTTAGCACTTTTTGTATTTGTACAATAATTGCTTCTGCTTATGCTGTTTAAATGCTATGGGGCAGACCAAAAATAGCTTATTCAGGTTTAAAAATGTGCATGCGACCGTGAGTGGGTAGAGGGCAGCCATATTGGTCTGGTTCAGTAAAACAAATAACATGTTTAGCATCAATTCAAATACTAACACATTTTATTTGGCATAATATTTCATAGTCCATGAAAACTTCTGTCACATATAATTTGGCCCTCTTTAAGTTGCTGAAAGACTCTGGATTGTTTGTGCTTCTTTGTAAGCCTATGTCAATGTTTTTCAAATACAATTTAAAAAAAAAGTTTTTGAAATCCTCTGTGGTAAATGACTAATGACTCCGCCTCACAGGTTTTTCCATGGTGGAGTGCGGGTAAGCTCCACAGGTTGACTATCTGCCTGTTATGATTTTGCTAAAGTGGCACAACACTTTGATAGGGTTGAAGAAAAATCATACAGCCTCAACTTTATCTCTATTAATATTTCCAAGAGAGGCTACAACTCCCTTCCATGCTCTTCCACTCTGCTGCCAGGCCTGCACAATTTTAATAAATTAAAAAAAGTTTTAAAGAGGACTTAAAAAAAAACCTCATTCCTCCAAGAAGTATTTAATACTGTATTAACAGTAGTACTTCCAAGCTGCAGGGAGGGGGAAGGGAGTTTAGCTCCTCCGAAAGCACGCAGACGACGGCGCGTTATTTTGAAAGGCATGCCTTTGGTCCAATTGCAAACGTGAAGAGAAGAAAGAGGGCGGGAATTTTCTCAGTTTCGGGTGTGGCTCGGGTATAGGTGCCACAGCTCCTGCGAGAGCGGCGGAGAAGGTGGCTTTGGAAGCCGTGGTTTCGCGCGCTTTTGCGGAAAGGTGTGGGCAGGGTGGGTCTCTTGTGGTAAAGCGGTTCTGTTGGGGGGGAGGCGCAAGAGAGAGGGATAGGTGTCCTGCGATCCCAACGTAGTGTTTCAATCCTGAAACTCTTGCGCCTTCCTTCCAGGACCTGATCCTTGAGAAAAAAAATTCTTTACAAGCAGTTGTTTCGGCTCTCGTTCTCTTCACGAGGCTAGTCCTCAGGGAGCTTAGTTTGTCTCTTCTCGTGAGGAGGCGACCCATCGTGGTCTCTCCGCCCACATAGGCAGTGTTTTAAAGTGTATTAATTTTTGGGACTACAGCTCCCAAATCCCCACCAGTCAAGGGGATTCCGGGTGTCGTCGCCCCAAAAAAGTAACGTTTCTAAGCTCGAGGGTTCCCGCCTTTACTCCGCTGAGACCCTGGGTACGTGGCTGTCTCACCTTCACTCAGACCCTGCATAACTCAGGCAGAGAGAGTAGACGTTGTCTAGAGGGGCGGGGTAAAAATTGAATAAATAAATAAATAAATAAGACTGATCCTGCATAACAATTTACAACAATTTTAAAAAAAGAATTGGATTAAAAATTTGTTTATATTGTGCCCAAGTCTTCTGTGAGCTCAACATGCTATACCTGCTTTTTTTTTTTTTGCTTTACCCACTGTTTTCCTGAGGTTGCTCAGTCTGAGTGATTGGTCCTCTCCTCATTTAGAAATATTTATATGCTGCCTTTCTCTGCATAAGGGGACTCAAGGTGGCTCACAACAGGTAAAATAAGAAATGTTAAAATACTCTGTCACAACTAAATATACATTGCAATTAAAATCAGTTTTAAAAAACAAAGATTTAAAATGGCAGTGAACACTGCCATTAAACAGATGAATAAACATACATCATTTTATCAGTTCAGCTTAGAAGCAAAAATAAAGATCAGTTACCCATCAGATGGCTGTATATTGATTTTGGCAGCTTAATTTAGAAATAAAAAATAAAAGGCTCCTAAGTTGTACTCATTAGACAATTGATAGCCGTAACTTCTCCCAACTTCTGCATTAAAATAATTTCCATTGCACACTAAAGCCAGTCATCATATCCCTTTGTATGTACAGGCAGCAAAATACTTGAATATTTATTTATTTATTTATTTATTTATTGAATTTATATCCTGCCCATCTAATCAATAGACTGCTCTATACAACATATAAAATAAACAATTTTAAATATAACAATAATATAAAACATCATATGTAGACACTCATGATTCCCCAGGAAGACTGCATGCTATTTCCTGAAATGTGTCTTGATATAAAATGTGTCTTTCCTGTAGGAATCAGCATGTCACCAAAAGAGCACATGTGATTATCATATATGCAGCCTAGACATGCTGTATGAAGGAGGTAAAGACTAATTATCATTCAAAAAGAGTTTCCACATTCTTCTGGAATGCTTCTTTGAACTAGATTATGGTTTTAAAAATATGACTGAAGTAGTGCCACAGAGCAGCTTATAGTACTGTATACTGTATAGGTGAGCAACACATGGAAGTCAGGGCATGATACACTCCAATCTGTGGACCTTGAAGGGCTGCACCTATCCAGGAATTCCCCTGAAAGTTCTTACAGAAACAAGTTCTACATTGGAAAAGCCACTTTGTGCCTCTGGTGGCCAGCAATGATTTTTGAAAGGTTGGGGTGAGGGGTAGAGGTGCTGATAGACCCTCAAAACATGCTTTTTCCTCCATACTCTGGTATTTTTATTTCATCAGTGAATTATAGCTGGAACGATGAGCGGACGGGCTCGAGTTAAAGCTCGAGGGCTTTGTAGGGAAGAAGGAGCATATCAAGAGCCTGGTTTCCCCAGAGAGGTATGTTTGAGAAACCTCTGTCTTTTACAAGATCTTATCTTTTCTCAGGTGCATTAGAGTTGAACTTTACGGCTAGCAGCATACCGGAAGCAGGAGATCTTGCGCAACAGAGGTGCTATTAAACCCCAGAAAAACATTGCTAATTGTAAATTTTTCTTAACAAAATATCACGTCCAGTCTGTGTGTACTGGCATTTGGCTGCACTACCCAATATTACAATGTTAGTCAGTCACTTGCATTTATTTATTACTTAAAGCGAGCCTGCCATGCTTCAGGCAAATAACAAGAAGACAAGACTGACTGGGAAAAGTCAGTAATGTTAAGGAAAGTGGAAAGTAATAAGAAAAGAGGACAACTTGGCGTGAGATCAGTTGAATCAGAAAAGGAAATTGTAGTCCTGAGTCTGCAAGAGTAAGGCTGTTAATGATAGAAACTTCTGGAAGTCATAAATTTGTAGGATTGTCAGAAGGTACTTGATGGCGTGTAAGATGCACATTATATTTATTTGATAGAACCTTTTGGAAGTATAAAATTGTAAGGTTGTCATAACTCAAGCTACTTGATGTAAGACACTCAAGATTTATTTGTTTCTCAGTGGGGGGAAAAAGGGAAGAATTATTGGGCTTGAGTCACTTGACTGATTTGAGTAACATTGTGCAAATTGAAATATGGAATGGGTTATAAAGCCTACAAGGTGGAGCAGGTTGGTAATAAATAAATTACTTGATGGGCTAACCTGTACTTTATTAGCTATACCTTGTAACACGTAACTCCATGTTGTGGGGAAAACCTATTTTAAATATTTATGCTGCTTTATGCAGAAAATATATAATATGAGCATTCTAAGAAGTGAGTATCAGTAGCATGAAGAAAGTGATATACTTTTTTGTGCTCCTGTTGTGTGCAAGAAAATTGCATGAGCATCAGAATTGGGGTGGGTGCAGGTTTGGGAAAGGTGGTTTTAATAATACAGTAATCTTGCCAGCTGCATCTCATTTACACTTGTGTGAAAAGGATTTTCAAAATTCAGTGGGCAAAATCCTATTGACACAGTTGTGCCAGGGTAAAGCAGATCTGGGCACCAGAAATAATTAATTGAAATTAGTGTAAAGCTACCAATCTCCCTGGTTTCAATAATTTTTGGCTTGCATATACCATACCCTTCTTTTATTGCACGGTACCTATGAATGGTCTTGAGAAGAGGGTTATCATCTGTAGTGTAGAAGAGAGAGAAAGGTTTATAGTAATCAGGCCCCCTACTGTAAATTCAATCTAGCAACCTGTATTTCCTCCACCAGCCTACTACGTTTGGAAAAAAGTAGTCAGAAAGTATAAGAAAGAAGGGAGGTGGAGGAAGAGTGAAAGGAAAAGCAAGAAAAAAAAGTGTCCCCCTGCCCACATTTGGATCATGCCTTGACATTGGCTTTGACCCCATCAATGGGTAGCATGAAGTCACCGACAGGCTACCCTTGACGGAATGTGACCCATGCAATGTTTCCTTTAATTTCTGCTAGCGCTGTGTGGGGCTCCACCCCCCTCCAGGCAGAGTTCCACCCTCAACTAGAAGCAAATGGCTCCAAGGTCAATCCGGCTGTGTGAGATAGATGCCATGTTGTGCGTGTGCACACGCACATCTTAGAGGGAATGTTGGACCCATGTTTTCAGTTCCATCCATCCAGGCTTATCCATTAATGACTGAAATTAAGTAGTTACAGGCACATTTTAATTTTGGATTGTACCATAGAGATTTACATTTACAGTAAATTGGTTTGTCCTCTTTTTTATTTTTCAAGCTATGTTGATAGTGGCACCTAAACAAAGGAACAGGTGTAATTCAGCAGTATACATTTTCTGTTGATATTTTTTTGCAGATGTATTTTAGAAATGAAATGCTGTTTCAGTTGTGAAGATATGCAAGTGGAGAACCAATATTAATAGCAGACACAGCAGCATGCACTTAGGTTGAGAATGATGCATACAACACCCTCCATAACTTAATGCCTCAAACCGTAGAGTGCTGTGAATTAACAAAGAATGCTTAAACATTTTTATAATGTAGAAATCAATGGAGAAAAAGGAGCCTTCAGTTTTTACCTGTGTGCTTTTATTGTGTCTGTCATGTCCACCCCAAAGGTTTCCTCAAGGAATGATGATGCCCTTGCTGCACAGAGTGCAAAAGAAGATGCTAATAGCCATGCAGGAGCTGGGACGAGTGCGCCAACATGTACGTGTGTGAATTACGGGTGAAATATTTATTGATAAAATATGTTGGTCTTCAGACCATCATGCAATAGAGTGCTGGGAATTACTTTTAAAGCTCTCGGCAGGTGAGAACTGGCATATCTTCCCCCTGCAGACGACTTCACCTCTCGGTTTGTCTAAGCCCATCTTGACTCAGGACCCATTAATTGCTGATGTTGTCTCTTATGGCATTGGCACACAACAGAACCTACATACCTCTAGCCCCGTCTTGTGAACAGCTGTCTCTGGAGAGATTCATCATGTTTCAGCCAGTCAGTAATTCTTACTCAGTAATTTTGAATAAAATAGATCTTAAGCTTGCAAAATTGGGAAATATTGTGCAAACTGAAGTATAGAATTATAAAAAGCATTAAAATCAGTAGCCAGTGAATGACATTATGGGTTGGTCTGTACTCTTATGAGCTATATCCCATAATACCTGTGACGTTTACCCACATGGCCCCTGCTTGTTTCACCAAACACAGAGCTCATGTGAGTATCCCAACACGCCCTTTGCCTCGTTGCTACCAGTTGATCTCTTTACCAACTATGTTTCCTATGAAAGACTGAGGTCCATTCAGTACTTAATTTTGAAATAAAAACAGGTTTATTGATTACAAATTGTTTTAGGAATAGTTCTTAAGCACATTCTTAAAATTACACCAAGCTTCAGTATTTTCCCTCAGCCTCTTCTATCTTAACAAATACAGATAACACTCTGACTATTCAGTTCTTAAATTCTTTCTCTGCCTCAAACCCAAACTACCTTCCTTTCTCATGAGACCCTTTTTTCCTCTATCTCCCTCAAAACTCTGTCTGTCTACCCTCTGCTACACCCCTCTTTTTATCTGGCGGACTGCGCATCCCAACAGCACCTTTCGTTTCATGGAAATGCTATGCTGAATATTCGTGCTAGGGGTGATCACTACAACACCTAACTACATTTTTGGTTTAAAAGTAATTTCCTGTGTTTTTTTTAAAAGACCTTGTGAAATATATCACTCATTATCTTCAAAGATCTTTTCATTGGTTTTCTTTCCTCCTTCCAGATGGCTTTTCAGTTGGACGTTCAGCCTATAAAGTAATGGACAGAGGAGGAAGGATCCGTTGTAACTTTGCAGATATGGGAGTAAATACCAGGGAGACAATGATGCATGTTAAAGACTCTAAGACTGGTATATTTTTATCTTGAAGGAACCATATTTTCTTGGTAGAATGGCAGCAGCATAACCTTTGCATGATAGTGTGTTAACATGTAAGGGTCAGATCCAATAGTAACCCCACGTCTGTATTGCAAAAGAGGTCTGTGTTTCCTAGTCACAGCCTTGTCACAGTATAACAAGTTTAATTTTAAAGGCAGGAGCTCAGCATTAGAGTAAGCACACAGTTTCCAAAGAAACAAATGCAGAAAACTAGCAAAAATGCTTCTGGTTTTTTTTGGGGTTAAATTGTTCAGGTGGTTCAGGAAAAGTTCAGTCAGTTATTCCAAAGCTATAAAGTTAGCTAGAAATTTGAAAGGGCAAGGCAGTTATACAGTAACTGCAAAGAAAGGAGACAGAGCAAGCCATATGCCACCAACTGTAGCTGATCTCTGTGCAAAATGCAGAGTCACAATTTTTAAAATTTATTTCCGTTTCTATACTGCCCCATTAGTGTTGCTGCTCTCTGTGTGGTTCACAATATACAGTAAAATCACACACTAAAACACCATATAGGTGTACACCATATAGGACTACTACGTCTGTGGCATCATTATCCACGATTTCACTTATCCACAGTCTGAAAATATTAGAAATATTAAAAGAAATCCAGAAAAGCTATTTTCACATGTATTAGCAGAACCAGACACTAGAGTGTGCTAGAGATCTCGCTATGAATGCTAGTTAGCAAAGAATACACAGTGTGATCTCTGGTGCTCTCTGACAGCCAGTCCTGGTAATGGATATGAAAACATTTTTTCTTGTTTTTTCTTTCTTTTACCATGCCCCCCGTCTCGATCTCTCTCTGTATAGTGTTCTCCACTATCCAGTTTTCAGTATCCGCAGTGGTACTTGGAACCAGTCCCTAGTCCTACTGTTATAAATACAATAAACCTTGTTGCTAGCCAAAGCTACCTTTAAATAAAAATACACAGATTAGAATCCATTTGAACATATCATGGTAATGTTTATATAATTTAGTTCTATTTAGATTCCTATAAAAAGAGAGGGATGGCACCTGGCAGAAGCTCTGTAGGAAGTTTATTCCAGAGGGAAGGGACCATTACCAAGAATGCTCGGTTCCTAGTGCTGGCTTTTTGGCCCACTTTGGGTGTTAACGGTTCTTAACATCAAGGACTGCAAAGTGTGTGAGAGAGACAGGCAACTGTTTTGCAGCTGTTGCAGACTCTTTGTGCATTCTCTTCTGTCTTGATTGGAGTTGTAGAGCTCTGTAATGTGCTCAAATAAAGTGACAAAGATAATAAAATCTGGACAGAACTCAGCTGGAACCTATATATAAAAAAACATGTTTCAGCATACCCAGTGTGTTTTGGTTTGTGAGTATTCAAAGAGCTACTACAAACCAACTTACTGGCAACCAACACAGAGATTTTCAGTAAATAACTTACTGTAACCCCAAATAAAGGTTTTTGCAGGCCAAAATTCATAGTGCTTTTGAAAGGCAGTAAATGCCATTTCTTAACATCCTGAGATGTGTCTCAAATAAAGGGCCTGAATGCAAAAATTTTATGTGTTGGACACAATTGTAAACTATGCAATACAAGAAGGCCATTATACAAGTCGGGTGCTGCTTGTCTGGTGAAATTACCATTCACCTAGACAGGCAATTTATTTTTATTTTATTTATTACATTTATACCCCGCACCTCTAGACCATGTCTACTCGGGGCAACCCATTGAAAATTTGCAATAGTTGTAAGTACAAGTTCATTTGAAATAATTTTGTTTATTTCAGGCTCTAGTGGCATTCCTGTAAAAGTGGTCACCAATCTGTTCAATTTGGGTCTGCCAAAAATGTGGCAGCTTTACCAGTACCATGTCATGTTTGTCCCAGAGCTGGCATCAAGACGAATGCGGACTGCACTTTTGTTTAGTTGTCCTGAAATGATGGGAAAAGCCAAAGTGTTTGATGGAGCAATACTGTTTCTTGCGTGCAAACTGGAAAACCAGGTAAAATACTGTGTGTTTGATTAAAAACAATAAAAATGACTATTTCAAAAATGAAGATTTAGATTAAAGGCTTCTCCTTCCATCCTGAGGCTCCTAGTGGTATCCTCAGGGCAAACAGTAGCCTTAGGACGCCTTGTAACCTGAAAGGAGGTTGATAGGAACCCTTTAATTACTTTAAATTAAATGCTTCCAGAATCCAATTCAGGTTATACCAGTGTAAAGTTAAACCAACAGGATTTTGCCCATAATTAACTAAAGTCTGTCAGGTCCAGAAAAAACTGCAGTTGATCAAAAATGGAAGCAAAACCTTAATAATTGGAATTATTCCTCACTTTTCTTCTAATGAACAGCATATAAGGTTCTCTCAGAGAAAAATCAATAGAACAAGTACAATTAAAAAATAAAATGGGACTAATTCTGAACCTTTTTTTTACTGTGGCCATAAGTATAAAAGTATAGGTCAAAAATATAGGCCAAATCAGGATTGTATAAGTGGAATAATGAACCTTATAAGGTGGTGTATGAAGAATTTTTTTCAGTCTGTGGCCCTTCAAATATATCAGGGCCCCCCAAGGGATTATATGGCCTCCATTGAGAATGGTTGGTGTAGAACACAGAAAGAAAGTAAGTAAGAAAGAAAGAAAGACATAGAAGCATCTTCCACAACAGTCATGCAGTTTGATTGCTAAAGGCCTATCTCGCTGTTCCCAGCCTTGGCTAGCCCAAAACTCCCAGAAATTGTGACTAGCACAACTGGTTGTGAAGGCTTCTAGGAATAGCAGCCCAAGATCAATGATGTTTCTCAAGGTTGGGAACCACTGGTGTATCTGGATGAATAAACAAAAATGTTTGCCTACAATCATAACAACAGGATAACTTTCCCTAGGTGGAGAGTTGCAGAGCCTGGGAATGATTAACAAGGAAATTTACATTGTTCTCTGCATGGGTGTATCAAGGCTTCTGTGACTTGATCCCATCAAGAGAAACAATGTTTATTTAAAGATTAACACGAGAAACACAAAAAGAAAACCATGGATGGTATTGTAGTTGCAATTCATTAAACTTCTTTTGACTTACACATATGTTGGTTCATTTACAGTGGACCCTTGACTTACAGACTTTTTGAGTTACAGACTTCTCTGGCCGCAAAATTTAGGTTTGACTTGCAGCCTGAGAATTGACTTACAGACCAGAAAAAAACCAAAATGGAACAAAAACGGCCTGTTACGGGATTAATCGGTTTGCAATGCACTGTAGGTCAATGGAGACTTAACCTACAGACTTTTTGACTTGAGAACCGCCTTCCAATACGGATTAAGTTCTCAAGTCAAGACCGCACTGTATATTCATTTTTTATCGTGGTGTAACTGTTTATTTAATTCTTACAACTTTCACTTCTTTCAGTTCTCTCATACATTAACTTTCCAAGTGTTCTCTTTTAAATCCTATCTTCCCTGTCTATCTATCCCTCTATATTTCCTTATCCTTCTTCTCCTCTAACTCTTCCCCTGTCCTAACTTTTCATAACTGTCCACCCTAACTGATTCCAACTGTCCTCCTTCCCCCCCTCTTTTTTGGTTCCGCCCTCCTATCCTGTCATTGGCTCCCACATCAGGGTTCTGATGTGATGGACAGGCGTGACATTTGGACTGTCCGTCACAGTGGTGTTTAAATCACATCAGCAAGAAAGGGAAGTTACAAATGATGGTCATAAAAGGTTCTGTTTGTTCTTTGCTCTTTGTTCTTGTCTCTTATTTCTCATTCTGAAGGTTATTTCTGATGTCGGATTATATTTTAAGTAAGTAAGAATCTTTGTTTAAAACAAAGCACTAGCTGTGTTTTGAAATACGAGTTTATGCCAAGAAACACATACCATTGGATTAGCTGTGTTCAGGTCTTGACGCCTTAACTTCTTCAGTTCATACCCGAGTTATTTTCCGTGTTGCAGAAACCACATTAATTATTTCTGCAACCAGGAAGTCCCTAGGAAGAAACTGAACTGTGAAAAATTGCCTTTTTCTGTGTTCCCCTAGGTGTACCGTGTTGCCCTGAAAATGGCAGGGTCTTAGATTAATTTTTGCTCCAAAAAACACATGAAGACTTATTTTGAGGGGATGTTTTATTCCCGCCTCCCATACAACAATCTGCATTTATTCAAATACAGTCATGTCATCTTCTTCTGGTTGTTGCACAATCGTGGGGTTTCGCTTAACTGGGACTTATTTTTGGGGTAGGGCTTATACTACAAGCATCCTGAAAAATCATACTTGGGCTTATTTTTGGGGAAACAGAGTAGTGATAATCCAACACATGCAAAGAGCACTCAGAAATTTGATTTATTATTGTGCATACTTACATAAATTTACTGAAAATTTCTAGGAAGGCCTTTTTACAGCCCGCTGAAGCTGATGCTGTGAGATATAAAATGAGAAACCGCCATATGCCACACCAGCCTGCTTATGTCTCCTTGCCGTGGCTCTCCACGACAGTGTTGTTTGTTTGTTAAACATGGTCAAGTTGCCACCAACATATGGCAGTGTCATGAATGAGTGATTTCCAGAACACCTTGTCCTCAATAGACCTGCTGAGCTTTTGTAAACTTGAAGCTAGGGCTTTGTTTATGGAGTTAATCCATCTCATTTTTGGACTTTCTTTTTTCCTGCTGCCTTTAACATTTCCTAGCATTATTACCTTTTCCAGCAAGTTGGGCTGGAAACGTCACAGTCAGGGCTGTGACTGTTAGGCAAATCTATCACATACCTCATAACCTATTAATTTATCCTTTTAAATGGAAACAACTGGAGCTGGGTTAATTTCAGTAGCTGCTGCTGCTCGTGTTGCTATACCATCACTATTTCTTCAATAGTTATTACTAATCCTGCCTTTTAGGATACGAGTTCCTCCAAGGCAGCTTGTCAAGACATTAGCACATGTCTTAAAAAGCCTCTATAAGTAAGATCCTCAGATACAAGATACAAGACATTGTCAGGATCTGTCCTGCATGCTATAGGGTGGCAGATTCACCTTCAGGAAGGCAAGGATCGTTCAGCTCAAAGAGTAGCAGGTGGCAGATTCCTTTCTTCAGGATCATTCCAACAGTTTTGGACTAGGCGATTTTGTTTTGTTACAAATGGTTTTCCATCAAGCTGTTTCATATTGCTGTCATTCTGTATTCCACCCTAAGATCTTGTGATACAGGTTGAGAGAAGAGTATTTAGATTGATAGGTAGATGGCAGCTGGGTTTGCAAAAAAGTGGAGTTTCGTTGGAGTTGGTCTTGATGTCATCTTTTTTTGTCTACCAGTATTATTTATTTGTCTACCAATTTTGGGCCACAGCATTGTTTTGGGAGTTTTGTTTCTCTTCAAGGTCAAGTTGACATAAGCAGCTGTGCGTGAATGAGGACCTAGTGTGTTCTTTTGCCCAGATGCATTAGGATTGGTAGCTGGAGTGTGAAGTTCACTAGGCTGAAAAGGACCAACTGTTTGGCCAAGGAAGAAAGTCAGGCTCCTTGGTTTGGGCCTCACTCTTCCAGACGTTTCCTACTGCTTGGCACTTACAGAAACTGTTGCAGCATGGCCCTCTTCCCTATTTGTGAGAAACAGGTCCATGAGGCTTTAGCATGTACAGTAGCTTCCTAGATTATTCATTGGGCTTTTTCCCACTTGATTGTTAGGTTCCTGTCAGATGTCCTAAAGCTTTTTAGTCTAATTTTGCCTTACCAGGTTGTTTTCCAACTCAACCATTGCTCTAAATGTGTGATGGGAAGACTTCAGGTTTGATGGATCTACTGTAGCGTGTTTTTTAGAAAAATTATAACCTTCAGGTTATTGACCCAAAATTCTAAAATGGTGGTTTAGGAGTTCCATGCCTGCAATTATTAAGGACCAAAGTGCCTCTGAGAACATTTTGAGTCCAAGGATTTGTGTTAATTACCAGAACTGAGCTCACAATCTTAATTAGAGTCACACGACTTTTAGTACTGGCAGCTGGACCCTCTGCAGTCAGTGGGAAGATAGCTTGAAAGAGAACACCTAACTCATATGTCTTTTCTCCTTAGGTCACAGAACTGTCTTGTGAAACACGAAGAGGTGAGACCGTGAAGATTACCATTACATTCACCGGCCAGCTGCTTCCGAGCAATCCTGTTTGCATCCAGTTTTTAAACCTTACTCTTAAGAAGTAAGCTTAATGTGTTTTTAAGTGCATAGGACAATAGGACTCACTATTAGACTGAATGATAAACTATGCAGAAAGCAATACAGAGTGTTTATAGCCCAAAAGCAGTTAAATATCCCTGGCTGTCTTTCAGGCTTCCCTTGGTTTTCTATTGGTATACAGTAATAGTGTCAGTGTTTAAATAAATATATCTTCCTTTTATGTTATGGTAATATTTTTCTTACAATTAAATATTCTACAGTAGTAAGGGAATAGTGTATTTTCATCGGTAAGCTACCAGATGGTCTGGAAGGCAAGTCTCATAATTTCTTATTGTTTGTCATACGAGCTGAGACTCACGGCTATTGTAGTCCAAAATGTGAACATAGCAAGTTGTTAACTCCTGTATTTCATTCATCTAACTTCTGTGTTAGGTACTCAGTCTTTATCCTTTGAACAGTCAAACAGATAATGGTGATAGTCCTTTACTGCCTTCTCACCATAGATACAGATCCTTGTAAATGGTAGAATAGATAGTTGCTGTCTGGGGGTGTCTTTGAAGGCGATACGGAAGCTACAGCAAATGCAAAATGCAGCAGATAAGACTCACATTGAGTGTGTGGAGATACAGCCATCTCTCCCTGATTCGGGCATGTCTGCACTGGTTTCCTGTTTGCTTCCATGCCAAATTCAAACTTACAGAGCCCGTAACAATTTGGGACCTGTGTTTTATCAGCTTTCCCGGAGATCATCTGCCAGGCCTACCAAGGCTTTCAAGGGTGTGCGGTTATGAATGGTCACTCCAAGAGAGGCTTAGAAATTTGCCACCAAGAACCGGGGCTTTTCAGTGGTGGCCACAGTGCTGTGTAAAACACAGTGCCTGCAGGATATATTCCAGGCTCCCTCCCTCTTGATCTTCAAGAAACATATAAAATCTGAACTTTTTAAGGAGACATCCCCCCTATGATTTTCTCACTGTCCTTTGTGATTGTACATTAATTTAGTTTGCCATTGCCTCTGAGGATTTCTTTTTTCATATTGTTTTTATGATTTGGCTGGCTTGGCAATTGCCTCTCTCATTCTTCAAAAATGCTTCTGGAACTGCACAGAAATAAAAACAGGATAGAGGATAAGGGATTTCAGGAGAAAGCAGGTTTGCAGGGAAGAGTTAAGTACTTTCTTTCTCTCCAGTCTTTTTTTCCTTGAAAATGCCCTCTCCTAAAATAGTTTACAAAAGAGAAGAGGCCGCTTAGCTTTTTTATATATAAAAGTGATGTATAGTTTATCTTTTGAGTAGTGGTATCAGAGGAGATGATGATTGAACAGTATGTGGTGAAGTGAAGGCAGAAATATAGTCCCGATCCAACATCCTCACATCCAGACCACCTGCCTCCACATCTCTTACAGTTGTGTCACAAATTTCTACTGCCTGTGCCATTTACAGCATACATGCGTTGGGATATTTGGAGAACTTCTTATATGAGAGTTTTGACATGATATTACTAGATCTTTGTAGACTAATATGTGGATCAGAATGCAGCTACCCTTTGGATTTTGTTTTCAAATTTTGTGGTGCAGTTCTGTACTCATGAAGCATATAAAATGTGTATTTTCGGGTTAAATACATTAAAAATGCCATTCAGATAATCGTGTTTGGTAAGAAAACATGGTCAAATCTGGGTAATTATACCTACATTTAAGCTGTTGTGAAGGATTGGAAAAATTATCAGAATTTGTTGAATAGGAAGAAACAGGTTTAGAACCAAATGAATTTATTAAATAAATACAGCGGTGCCTCAACTTACGAACTTAATCGGTTCCAGAAGATGGTCGTAACTCGAAATGATCATAAGTCAGAGTACCATTTCCCATAGGAATGCATTGAAACGCGATTAAACCGTTCTGGCTAGAAAAAAAAATCACCAAAAAAAACCCAAAACAAGACAAAACACTGTAAGACCCATCAGAAATAATAATAAAAAAAAGAAAACAAAAAAGCAAACAAACCCTGCAAGACCCATCGGAAATGGGGGAGAAAAACCAAAAAGCAAACAAACCCTGCAAGACCCATTGGAAATGGGGGGAAAACCCAAAAAGCAAACAAACCCTGCAAGACCCATCGGAAATTGGGGGGGGAGACCCAAAAAGCAAACAAACCCTGCAAGACCCATCAGAAATGTGAAAAAACCCAAAAAACAAAGACTGCAAGACCCATCACAGCACAGAAACATAACCCCCTCCAGCCCAAAACCACACTGCAAAACCCACGCAGAATAGGTAGTTTTTAAAAAGCAGAAAGCAGCACCTTACGAGGCAGTCCAAAGCTGCTCCAAACGTGCACACTCTAACCACTGAGGTGAAAGAGCTACAAAGAAGCAGCCTCTTCACCACCAACGGTTAACAATTTGAATTCCCCGTCTTTTTCCCTGCCTTTTTTCCAATCATAACTTGAAGCTCTGGTTGCAAGTCGAAGCAGAATTTTGCAGCTGGAGCTGGTCGTAACTCGAATTGGTTGTAAGTCAGGACTTCAGTAAGTCGAGGCACCACTGTACATGCAGTGTTGACAGCAAGTGGAAATAAGCCATTGTGTCTGTCATTGTTCAAGTTGTATGCCGTTTGCCCATTATGTTATCAAATGAAAATTGCTGTTTTGCATAACCATTAAAATAGAATTATTGTTTATAACAGTAATTTGCTGGAAACTAAGTTACTGCAAAAGTAAAGAGTAATTTGAGTCCATAGTTGGATTTTGCAAATGTCTTTTGTATAAATTTATTTTATTCAGAAAATAATGTTTATGTTGCATGATGTTTGAAACAAATGCATTTAATATTTAGGGTTTTGAAAAAGTTATCAATGTATCAGGTTGGACGAAACTTCTACAGTCCTTCAGATCCAGTGGAAATCCCCCAACACAAGTAAGTTGGCTGCTTCTCTTAAATCTAGATTGTCATCTCTGTTGCAACAAATGTAAGTGTTAATGATTAAATTCTGTCTCTAGATTTCGTCACAGTGTGCTGCATGGCCCTATATGCATACGGTGATGCACTGAAAAAGCATTTATTCTAGCGTCATTCCTGGATACAGTTTTTCTCAGATGGCATTACTTCCTTGGTAATCATCCCCTATAATTGTATCTTCTCTGCCGTTTTCGGATCAGGATATTCAGAGAATCTTGAGAACCGTCTCTAAAGTTTTTCAAAGATTGATGAATTACAGGGACAGATGCTAGTTTGAACTGAGCAGTGATTTTTGAAGAAGGGAGGGAATTGCAAGGTGAAAATCTTTCCTATTATTGAATTTTGTGGAACTGACTGTGTGTGTGTTTGTGTGTTTGTGTGTTTGTTTGTTTGTTTGTGTATGTGTGTGATGGAGTAGTGTTTCGATCAGAATGCCTTTTAGAATAAGACCACAATTTTATTCTTTCCTCAATTTGCATTTTTCTTCCAGACTCAGAATGGGTGTGTGGCTTTTTCATTTGGAAATAAATTGATGGCTGCATATCTTTGATTTTTTCATGCTTGAAATTGTACTGCAATTTATTTTATATCTTCATATGCCAAAATCCTGTTGTATAATTGCAGTGGTAGAAGGGAACTGGCACAACTCTTAATGGCTTTCATTCCTGGTCACATACCAAGCCATCTGATTAACATGCAATGAAAAATCCAGGTGGTGACTTGTTAGTAAGTGGAAATCTGCTGCTCCAGGGTATGCCAATTCCCTTCTACCAGTACTGTATAACTATATGACAGGATTTTGACTATAGAATTTAGATTTTGTTAAAATTATATTCTCTGTGTGTTTAAATGTGTGTGTGTGTATACTTACGAAACACACTGCCCAGCTTTTAATCTGCTGTGCGTTATCATGCGATATTACAGAAAGGAAAGAAAGGTGTCTGTACACAATCTACAGTGGGGTCTCTACTTAAGAACTTAATCCGTATTGGAAGGTGGTTCTCAAGTTGAAAAGTTCTTATGTTGAATCTGCATTTCCCATAGGAATGCACTGAAAACCATTTAATCCGTATCTGCTCTTTTCCGTCCATAGAAACTACAGTGGAACCTCTACTTAAGAACTTAATCCGTTTTGGAATGGTGTTCTTAAGTTGAACCATGCTTGAAATTGTACTGGAATTTATTTTATATCTTCGTATGCCAAAATCCTGTTGTGTAATTGCAGTGGTAGAAGGAAACTGGCACAACTCTTAATGGCAAATCGCTGCTAATTAATGAGTCCCCGCTTTCATTCCAGGTCACATACCAAGCCATCTGATTAACATGCAATGAAAAATCCAGGTGGTGACTTGTTAGTAAGTGGAAATCTGCTGCTCCAGGGTATGCCAATTCCCTTCTACCAGTACTGTATAACTATATGACAGGATTTTGACTATAGAATTTAGATTTTGTTAAAATTATATTCTCTGTGTGTTTAAATGTGTGTGTGTGTATACTTACGCTTTTCTCCTCAAATATAAAGCTTGTATTCCCTTCAACTGGCAGCACAGCTACAAAGCAGCTATTTTTTGCACTATCAGAGTTCTCTCTTGTGGAGTTCATGTATTGACTGGTTGTAGACCTTCACAGCTTTTGACACTGACATCCAGCTCAGTCAACATCCATCAAATGCCAAGGTGTGGATGTTCACCTTATCTGGATTCCTTTAGGTAAAATGTAAAGGTTCCCCATAACATTTAGTCTAGTCGTGTCCAACTCTAGGGCGCAGTTCTCATCCCTGTCTCCAAGCCATAGAGCCAGCATTTTGTCCTTAGACAGTTTCTGTGGTCACGTGGCCAGCGTGACTGTGAGGGTTCAGTTTTCGGGGCTGTCTGTTCTTCAAATAAAGGACGAGACGGTTGAGGCAAATCAAAGGGCTCAGTATTTATTGCAACATCAACTCCAACAGGATTCACACTTAAAAAGGGGTTCAAGGATTCTTGCAACATATTGCTTGGCTTTAAAGGTGTCCATAAAACATTTAGAAAAGGGTTTGTTGTCTCTGGGTTCCAAGGTCCTGTTAATATCTTTAAGACCGTCATTATTTCTTTCCTTACTATTTTAGAACTTTCTATGGGGAGAAGGGATTCCCAGTGTGGTGTAGTGGATAGAGTGATGGGCTGGGACTCTGAAGAACAGGGGTCAAATACCCTTTCAGCTATGGAAACTCATTAGAGGAGTGGAACTGGTAAAACACTCCTTAGATGTCACTTACCTTAAAAACCTTATTAGGGTCCCTCTAAGTTGGTTCTGACTTAACTGCACAGAAAACACACAGGGAGAAAATTGAAACTCTTCCATTGTCAGGTGGATCTTCTCAGTCATCTATGGTTTGCCTTTGGACTAGGAAGGAAGAGGTTTTTCCTCTTATCAAGCTGTACACAGTCTAGAAAGGAAACTTATTAGGACAGTCCAAATTCTATCTTTTCCTTCTTATTTCAGACTAACCCTTTGGCCAGGCTTTGCTGTGTCTGTTGGACAGTTTGAGAATAAGGTGATGCTCTGCGCGGATGTGAGTCACAAAGTGCTTCGAAACGAGAGTGTTTTGCAATTCATGACAACCCTGTATGAGAATGTGGGCAGAGAACGTTTTACAGAAGTGTGTGAAAAGGAGCTGGTGGGGCTTATTGTTCTGACAAGGTAATGTTTGCTGTTTTGGAGATTACGAAATTTTTAAGCAAACGTTTATGCGGAATTGGCAAAATGAGCCAAGAATTATAATGGGAGCTAGGAAACCTTATAGTGAATAATTGAGAGATGTACCAGTAGATCTCAATTACTTCCTTCTTACCCCTCACCAAAACAGATGAGGTTAATATTGGGAAAGAACAGAGATTTTCTTTCTACAGAGAAGCAGAACGTAATGTTTGTGGAATTTATGGTCTGTTTTTATTGTATTTATATAATCATCATCTTGGCGTCGACAAAGGCTGATTGTCATTTGTGAAATGCTTTAAATAAATGATAAATACACCCTGGGGATATTTGAGATTAATGAAACAAATTCTCACAGGTAATCATGGCTCCCAGGAAATAAAAGATATGAGTTGTGCTTTTAATTTTCAAAGAAAGGGAAATGCACTATTGTGTGGAGTAGCTACTTCTGTTTAAACGAAAATCTTTCTTGACATATCATTGGAGCGTTATATGAAAAGGGAATCAGGTTAGGCTTCCAACAAACTAGAGCAGTATTTGGATATGTTGTAAATGTAATCATTTCAGATACAACAACAAGACATACCGCGTCGATGATATTGAGTGGTCTATAAAGCCAGCAGATACATTCCAAAAGCGAGACGGCACTCAGATCTCTTATGAAGATTACTACAAACAGGTAAATAAGAATTAGGATAGAATAGGAAAGCTTCTCTTTGTAGTTAAACCTCCGTAGCACACAATGTAAGTATGTAAGGAAAGGAGGAAATATTTCAGTTGAGAAACACCAGGAATAAATATTGGATAATGTTCTTAGGGATGTCACACAAAGTTAAGATCACAATGGTCTTAACTTTGTGTGACATCCCATGCAGTCTTGTAACGTGCTGCTTGTGATGTTTTGCTGTCCCGTGAACAGGATGGCATTGCTTTCTCCTATTCTTCGTGTCGAATCCAGCTGGACTGGCACTTGAAACTTTTTCAGTATAGTGGTGAATGGATTAGTATCTTCCACTACGTTTGCGACAACAGACTAGCTTGCTGGCTCCAGGACAGCCATAGTGGCATAAGCAGGTTTGGCCTTCAGCAGAAAGGAACGTCAAGGAAGGCCAGGAAGAATGGCTGTGAGGCTGCCACTACTGCTCTTCCCCAGTATCTTACATCAAACACTTTTTCCTTCTCTGCCTAATGACTTTTTTTCTACCCAGAATATCAACATTAGTAAGATTGACTTGCTTACTTCTAATTTTGTATTTCCATGAACAGCAGTATGAAGTAGTCCTTAGTGACTTAAATCAGCCAATGCTTGTTAGCCAGTTGAAAATGAAGGGACGTAGTGCTGTTGAACCTCGCGTGGTACATCTGGTTCCTGAACTCTGTTACATGACAGGTAAATAGCTGTTAACTTCAGATGCCACTTAGAACAGCAGTTTACAGTATTAAGAGTTCTCAGCTTAAAGAAAGTGCTCTAAATTTCATTTTGACTAGCCCTAAGATATTCAGAGCCTCTAGATGCAGTTTCAGCACAAGGGTAATGTAATGGTTTGCCCATGATGTTCAGCAGTCTCTGGGTTGCCATGGCGTGGGTTTGGAAAGTTGTTTCCAACTTTGGGTAACCCAGGTGTTCTTGAACTGCAAGTCCCAGAAGCTTTCAACATCAGCTCTGCTTCCCAAGGTTTCTGGGAGTTGCAGTCCAAGACCACCGGGGTTACCAAGGGTTGAGAACCACTGAGTTAGGAGATCACCGAGTTAAAACTAGTAGAATCTTATCATCTGGTTATGTGCCCAAAGTACAATAGCTTGGTTGAGTCATTATAGTCTCTAGCTTAGTTTGATGTAGAACCCACTTTTTGTCTTTCTGTTGGTCCTTCATATCTGTAAAGGTTTCTAAGTACATGAACATTTTTTTTATTTTACACTCGGGAAACATTTAACAATACCAATCCTTCTTCTTGGCTCCCACTGTCATGATGCTCTGGGTTTACTGTGAATGTCTTGATCAGCTCTTAAGCATTCTGACCACAAATTGTTGCTTATAAGGGAGTATGGTTGCTTGAAATAGTACCACATGGGAGACAGGATGTGTTTGTTCCTCTGTTACCTAACAGTCTTTAAATCTGCTATCATGGTTTGTTTTTCTCAAATGGGCACAGAATAGCTTTCAAAGGACATTAAAATCCTCCCCTTTATTCTTTTTCAGGTTTGAGCAGTCGTGCAACTTCTGACTTTCGTTTGATGAAGGATCTGGCCCAGGAGACTCACTTGTCACCAGAGAAGAGACACCAGCGTCTAACGAGACTTGCGGACAACCTTCAAAGGTAACTTTATATACAACTTGCTTCTACAAGGTTTGTTTCCTAGTTCATGGATCTGTCATACGTGGACTTGACATTGTTTCAGGCATAGTGTCTGTAGTGCAATATAGGCAGTAAAATGCATGGATCTGTAACTGTTTTGTGTAGAGCACCTGTTGACACATGTAGATCTGGCTCTTGATGCATTTTGCCTTCTTGATTACAGTGGTGCCTCGCTTGACGAGGATAATCCGTTCCAGCAAAATTGCTGTAGAACGAAATAGTCGTCAAGCGAAAGTAAAAATCCCATTGAAGTGCATTGAAAACCGGTTCAATGCGTTCCAGTGGGCGAAATACCTCAGCGTCCAGCGAAGATCCTCCATAGGGTGGCCATTTTCCAGTGCCTGTAATGCGAGGAATCCATCCTAAAACACGGCAGGGACCCATTTTGCACAGTGGGCGGCCATTTTGAAGACCCGATGATCAGCTGTAAAGATCGTCGTTAAGCGAAAAATCGGTTCCCGAAGCAAGGAACCGATCGTCGTAAAGCGGTTCTTCCCTATTGAAACATCATTTTGCAATCGCAAAAACTTCATCGTAAAGCGATTTCTTCATCAAACAAGGTAATCGTCAAGCGGGGCACCACTGTATTGTGAATGCACAGTAGAAATGATTGTTGTGGGGTTTTGTGGCTGTTTGGCCATGTTCTGGATGTTTTTCTTCCTAACGTTTCTCCAGTCTCTTTAGCCAGCATCTTCAGAGGACAGGAGCTAGAACTCTGTGTTTTGGTGTAGTGTGTGGGATTGTTGAGTATTTGTAGCTGTGGATCAGGTTTTTGTTCTTTTCAGGAGTCTGGGTGTTTCCTGTGATCAGGGTGTTTTTTGTTCTAGCTGTTTTGTTGTGATAAGGGGAGGAGATGATTTGTCACTGTGGTTGCTGGGTGTCGTTACCTATTCTTTTGTGTGCAGTGATCCTCGCTCCTAGTGGCTGGGTAGAGTTCTTTTTTATTTTATTTTTTTTTATTTTTTATTTTTTGCAGGCTGCATTTTTCAGTGCTGGGAGCCAGGCTTTGTTGATTTTTAGACTTCTTTTTTGTTGAAACTTGTTTTTGTGGATTTCAGTGGCTTCCCTATGTAGCAAAACACAATGGTTACTGGTGTTGTCCAGTACTTCTGTGTTTTGAAATAGGATTTTTTGGTGAACTAATTTCACATGCTAGCAAGGTTATGCTCAAAATCCTACAAGGTAGGCTTCAGCAGTTTGTGGACCAAGAACTTCCAGAAGTACCAGCTGGATTTCAAATGGGCAGAGGAACTAGAGACCAAATTACTAACATGCACTGGATTATTTTATTTATTTATTTATTTATTTATGGAGAAAGCCAGAGAGTTCCAGAAAAACATCTGCTTCATTGAATTTGCAAAAGCCTTTGACTGTGTGGACCACAGCAAACTATGGCAAGTTCTTAAAAAAATGGGAGTGCCTGACCACCTTATCTACCTCCTGAGAAATCTATATGTGGGACAGGAAGCAACAGTTAGAACTGGATATGGAACAACTGATTGGTTCAAAATTGGGAAAGGAGTATGGCAAGGCTGTATATTGTCTCCCTGCGTATTTAACTTATATGCAGATTACATTATGTGAAAGGCAGGACTGGATGAATCCCAAACCGGAATTAAGATTGACGGAAGAAATATCAGTAACCTCCGATATGCAGATGATACCACTCTGACAGCAGAATGAGTCTGTGTTATTACTGCCTTATGAGCTGATTTGTGAGGCTACGGACCTCAAAGTGATCTAGAAATACTGTAAATGCAAGTAAACAAACACAAGAGGAGACAGTAGCAATTTCTATACAACAAAAAGGAGGAATGATGTTGAAGTCATACAGTGGTGCCTCGCATAGCGATGTTGTACAACAAAAAGGAGGAGTGATGTTGAAGTCATACTTGGGTTTGAGGAAATTTTAAAAAACAAGTTTCAGAACTACATCTTTCATAATTCCATTACTATTGTGTTATTCTGTCCCTATTCAGAAATAGGTTGTATTGTTGGCTTGCATTCCTAGTTAAAATGGTGAAACCGATCTTATACTTACAGCCCCTAGATGGAGTTAAAGAACTATAACAAGTTTTTACATTGGCTAAAATCCTGTTCCTTAGTTGCAACTGGAATAAGCCCATTGAGTCAGTGGGGATTTGGTGAGCCATCTCCTACGTAAGTTCTCTTGTTTCAGTGGTACTACTGTAGCTGCAGCATAGTATACTAAGCCACTTTTCCTTTCAGCCTCCTAAGATGTACGTTGATAGTTTCACAGAAATAACCTTTTTACAAAATACTAGTGTATTACATTCCTGATATAAAAAGAAGCCACATTTTAATGATTCTTTATCTTCTTATATAAACAGCATGCTTTGTGTTGCTTTGCTTTTTCTTACTTTTCTCTCTGACTCTAGCTTGGATGGTGATCATGGCTTTTCTGACTTTTGATGGAGCAGCTCCTAACAGTGGTGTTGTGTTAAATTCAAACCAATCTTGGAGAGTTTTTAGCCAAAACATTCTCCCAGCTATACATCTCTCCCATTTTTTTTACCTTGAATAAACAGCTACGATAATATATACTTTTAATTTTGCATTATATTGGAGAAGTATTCTAACTTTCTCCATTTTATGTTTTATTATTCCTTGGCCTTCATTCATTTCTCCTAATACATCATTGTTCATCCTCTTGATCCAAGAAGTTCTTAAAATCCATATTTTAAATACAGTGATGCCACGCTTAACAATTTTAATTGGTTCCAAAAAAACATCGCTATGGGAAAACATTGCTAAGCGAAACCCG